GAGCGACCTTAGTTCAAAATCTCACGTAAGAAATTTCAACCGAAATCCTAACCAGTTCCACGGGAACACTGTACACACTGTATAGATGACAAGCAGCTAAGGGAAAATCGGCAAAAATTCACGCACAATGGATGAATAGAATGCGAAACTCGTTCAGAGAGCCTCTTTCCAGGACAATCGGTTGAAATTGTGGCTGGGAATATCGTTGGGCGAAGGAGGGAGGAGCAACGAAACCCTCGTCACGTAGCTTTTCTTCGATCTAGCCTAAAGGAAATAAAGGTTCCCATTTTTTTTTTCCTCTTTCTTCCTTCCTTCCTTTTTCTTACAACGTTGCATCGGCCGGCGATAACTGTCGTGGCTGGTGCAGAGCGCGGCTTACCTCCCTCCGGTAATTTCGGCAGGGAAAGCTGCCAAAAGCGGTCCAGGACGAGATATTTCGACGGGTAGCAGAACGTCGTCGCGGCTGAGAATCCTTTCGGAAGACGCATCCCTACCCCCGGTTGGAAAAAAGCCGTCTGGACGGGAAGAATTATGCAAATGTTTCACGTTTCCCCGCGGGATTGCAACAGATTTGCGGAATTGCTCGTTAACCCCACGGACGCGTCTCGAACGTGTTTGCCACTGTTCAGAAAATCGCCGGATCCTCTCGGCTCGGTGAAACTTTGCAACGAGTTCGCTCGAAAGTTTTTCGGTGTTGTAGAGCGTTTCGAGATATGTGTAGGTGGGAATTAATTTTGGTAAGGTACAAGTGTACACTTGTGGATTGTTCGTGTTTCTGTTTCGGGGGAAAGTTCGAGATAGGAGGAACCGTGGAACCGTTGAGGGATGTTGGGAAGTTTCTCAATATGGTTTGCCGGTTACCTTGTTTTACTGACTGTATTGGCTAATTAAAAGAACGAGCTGTCGTGATAAGGAGTTAAAGGGTTGAGGAGGAAAGTTTGGAGAATAAAGTGATATTTGAAAGAGAGTGTAGAATGTAAATTATATGGTACTTTAGTTTGTGTGACAGTGAAATGCTTTGTGGTACGAATTTATGCACTTCGATTACTTTTGTATTTTTTTTTTTTCAACTTTATTATTAATTCATTGTTGATTTGTTCGAAATTTTATTTGCAGCTTGCGTGTATTTATTGTCTCAGCTTGTGATCAAAATTAGAAGGCTTAGGTTTGTTCGCATTTTCGTAAGTATTATAAAAAGTTAATAAGTGCAACGTGTGCAATGATTTTAAACTTGAGAAAAATTGAAAGGTCGGTGAAAACTATTGATAAAAAAAAGTGGCAGTAGGCACTTTAAATCCGAGTGACTGCTTTCTAAGTACGACCACTTTACAAGTCACTTAGACTGCAGAGCACTTATATTTCAATTCTTCCACTTTTTCTTCTCTATTTTCTTTTTTAACTTTCCTGAATTTGAAGCTTTCTAAATGTGGAGGATTTGCTGGCGTCATTCGACGTTCCTAAACTCTGCTATATCTCTGCAGTGTTTTATTTAATCGTCACAAATCATTGTTCCTAATGAACCTATGGTTATAATTTTTTCTTAAAACATCCCGTATGTGGTTCGCGCAAAAATAAGGTAAAATGTAGAAACGTTGCCATAACTAATAAAAATAAGCAAAAATACAAATATAAAAAATAACCAGAGTCAAACATACTACATAAACACTTTCCCTCCTTTTCGAAATTTCTTTTTAAATTAGGCTGTCAAAGTAAGAGTACAATCCTTTGTTCGAAGTAAATGCTTCTCATTCACAAATTAATTTCAACTCCGACACGGTTGATTTTTCATGCAGCATTTTCATTTTTCACTCAGCTTGACGATTATTCATTTTCCTTTCTAACTTCGTTCCAAAAGCTTCTCACGAAATTCGTGTGTTTTCCAGGGAAAACACGTGACTCGAGATAATTATTAAAAATGACAGTGTTTCCATATTTCCAAGTGAATCCACGCTCACGTTCCCACCGTACAAGCGATAAATCACACAATCACGAGGAAAGATGTTTCTGCACGTTAACCCGTCCTCATCGTCCGCCAATTATATACCCGGTGTGTAATCAAATTCTCACTCGACGAGCCCACATCGTGTACATTTCGCCGCCTCCTTGGGTGGCTGTTCGATCATGAACGATTAACCCTGTACAAGGGTGCTGTTGTGTTCGTGGTGCGTCGAGGCAGCTGGAACGTCGCCAAGACTTCAACAGTCTCATTCAGGTCGAGCTGCTCTGGGATATGTACCACGTTCAATAACAACTTGCCGACGTTGCTGTGGAGAGAGATTCTAATTTTTCCCAGGAGAAGAAGAGAGGGCCCCCCTCTCTCTCTCTCTGTGTTCGCTCTCTTTCTTTTGCTGTTAGAATTTGCAGCTACCGAGATACACTTATACCCACACTGGGCTTTAAGAACAATGTGCAAACTGAAGTGAATACACCTGGTTCTCCCTACTGAAACTCCTATTTAAACGTGAAATTTTTCTCCTTTTTGTTACCTTCGTCGCTTTCGACTCGCGTGTGCGTGTCACCATTTTCTGTGGAACATTTTGACCGACTTGAACGTTCCTCGTGCAGCGAGGAATTTCGACTAATTACTGCAACGGGATGACACGAAGAGAAGAGTCTCTTCTTAGAGTTGGGTCGAATGTGCTGGTAGGTTTGGAGGTGGATGAGCTTGTATAAAGGGGTGTGGGTGTTTGGGAATGATATAATGATCGAATTAGTTGCGATTGAAGGTGTTGGTGGAAATGTACGGAGGTTGGAAATGAGGAAATTCTTGAGTAAATGATTAGAAGTGTATTGGATAAATAGAGTGTAAGCGTACTGAGATTTTTTTTTTTAATTAGACGGTCAAAGTGAGAATATAATCGTTTTTTTTTTTTTTTTAAAGCAAATTGTTCCCTTTAAGGAATATTGGAAATTAGTTTTAACTCTGATACGGTAGATTTTTCAGGAAATTTTCATTTTTTACTCAGTTTAGGGGGTGTTAATTTTGCTTTGTGTATTTGTTCTAAAGTTATGCTAAAGTTCATATATTTTGTATTAATATTTCAAGATTTTTAACTGCTTTGAAGTTGAAGATTGTCCACTTCATAGATTCTGAATAATTTTTTTAAACACACTTTACATACGGTTCGCGTAAAATTGGATTGGGAAAAGAAGTTAGCTAAAAATTAGAGCACAGGTGAAAATATAAATGTAAAAAGTAATCAGAGTCAAGCATCTTCGAATTGAAGATGCGGAGTGAAAAAAAGGGGGGTTAAATTCTTCGTACTGATTAATTAAAATTCGTAGAGATATTTTATACGTCGAGATGGGAAATGTTGGAATGTGTAGAAGTACTCGTAGTTCGGGCAGAAAAGTAGAAACTGAGAACGAAGAGATTCTCCTTTGATAAGAGTTGCGGAAATTGTTACGAGTTGGTGTGGAAATACAGATGTTTTTAAGAGATAATAAATAGGCTACGTTGCAAATGACGATTCTAGAAAATACAAATGTTGGAGCAATTTTTATGGTAATGTAAAAATTTCAATACGAAATTATAAAAAAGTCTTATGAATATATTCTTCTATTGTGCTCATTGGATATACGGATTATTTTTATGCAAACTATATTTATCGAGATAATTTAATATTACAAGCAGTGTTGTTATTTTAATATTAATCGTAAGAAGAAATTTTCTATAGAAAGTTATAGTCGCAGAATTTTCAAGAAATCAATTTCAAAAAATAATTCATCACTGAAAATTAATTACTAGGTCACTCAGAAATGATTATATTGTTTCTTTCGTCCATTTTTACGATTTCTAATTATTTCGCAGGTAACTTTGATAGCAAAATAACTAAATATAGAAAAAGTAAAGAAACTAACATGTTTTTCGGTATCTTCTCAGTTTTCCAAGCTTTTGACTGATACGCAATGTTACAGTAACCTGTAATAATGACAATTTAAATGACCATATCCACATTTACGTCGTGGAATTGAAAAATATTGCGATTGTAATGCATCAAAGAGGACAACGTTGTCATTTACCACAACTTCTTCCGAAAATTACATAATTCGAAACATATGTACGTGGTCCTATCTTGTTTAAGTTTAAGAAAAGATGGAGAGATTGATTGAAAAGGTAGACCTTCGGGTCACACAAAGAGCGTGTTTAAGTATTTGACCAAAAGGTCACGGTCTCTCTTATCGTTAGCAAGTATTACAGCTCATCATCTGTGAAGCGCGTTGTTTGTGATTATAAATGTCAGGCTACCAAGCTTCTTAAAGATAATGCACGTTGAACGCGTGCATTCTTTCATTTCCAGTGCTTTTTCTTCTATTTTGGACGTCATATTGAAAAATTTGACGTCAGAAGAAATATTCTTCGGCAATTTTTCTCAGATTGATAAACCGTTTCGAAAATTAATTCGTAAATTCCAAATTTGGAGCAAGAAGAAATTAAAAATTTTAGCCAAAAATTACAAGTTAATTCGTTGGATGAATATTAATCGTACAATTAAGTTCCCCTTCGGTAAATAATATCGAAGTTTAGTACTATAGAGCACTATATAAAATTTAAACGAAGGAAAAGTTGCCGCGTACACGAGACAGGGAATTTGTTGAATAATCTAAACCCAACAAAGTACTTTTTTGTTTCAGGCGACTCTTTGCAATGTACACCACTGGACCGAGCATACAAAAGTAAAGTACTGGGACACTATCCAGATTCTGTACCATGGAATCCTTTCGACGAACACGCTGTCTGCATGGTGCGTCAGAAGAAACTGTTTTTTCCTTTCTATTAACCAAAATTTTTATATTTTTGATTTGCCGAATTTGTATGTAATTCTTTATTTCGTTTTCACAGCCAAGAATTAACCAAAATTTTTATATAGTATACACATTCTTCGAATATTTTTATACCAGCGTGATCTCTTCTTATTTTTCTTCTACCTGATACACTTCACTCGGACACTTTATTGTATTAATATTTAGGATAAGTGGGGACAAATGAAAACGACTATTCTGTTGGTGACTAGAAAATTGTTCAAATTATCGTCAGACTGTAATAAATTACACAAGTGACGTAAATTTCTATTAACGCCTCATCTATACACTTCGTTGTCGGAAGGCAGATAATAATGTGTAGTTGATAATTTCAACTTAAATAGCGATAAATATGGTAACGTAGGTATATAGGCTAGAGTAAATTTTGGTCATTTGAAAAATTCACAAATACAATGTGCGAGTGATACCAAGTTTATTTATAACTTTGCTTCGTTGTCGGAAGGCAGATAATAATGTGTAGTTGATAATTTCAACTTAAATAGCGATAAATATGGTAACGTAGGTATATAGGCTAGAGTAAATTTTGGTCATTTGAAAAATTCACAAATAGAATGTGCGAGTGATACCACGTTTATTTATACATTTCTTCATTTCTTAAGATTAATACGAAAAATGTGTTAATACTCAATGAAATATTTCAGTATGAAAATCTTACACTTTGTACATTGTAAAATTTCTCACGAAAAATTGTCCCTTGGTGAAGCTTAAAAGTTGAGCACATTGACCTTATGCAGTCATCCGCCCATTTCTGTCGCGTGACTTCGAATGGCTTTGGTGAAAACGCAGCTGAAGGTAGAAGAAGAGAAAAAAGGATTGAAAATGCAAAGTACTCGACTTGATACACTTGGTGGAAAAAATATACAGTGTGATCGTAAATTGAACTACCTCGTGCCGGTAAACATGTGTTCGTGAATATTTTTTAAACAGCAATTTAGATATTTCCAGAGTTCTACTTTCAAGTTGTCCATTTTTTCAGTAAAAGAAAATTCAACGATAATTTCTCATTTCTTTATATACATTTCTCAAAGAAAATTAATTCTTAATATTCCAATTACTCAGAAACGCGTTAATACCCTCCCAAATTTTCTTTCCAAATATAATTACCACGCGCAATACACAGGGTGTCTCAAAACTAGCGGTACAACCCGGAAATGAAGTTTCTTCACTCGCGATACATTTCAATTGATCAAGATTTCAAAACTCACATTCTAAAGAAACAATATGAGCGTGGTACGAGACACTTTCTGTAACTCGCTGTGTCTACGAAAAGAACCGACCAAAAGTCTACATTTCGGGAAAATAAAGCCGCATATAAACAGGCTACATTTCATCCGCGAAGTGTACGTGCCGTTCGCGATCAACGGCGTTATATAGGTTGCGCTTGGCGTGTCCCAGTTGCGGATGAAAGAAAGGAAGAGAGAAGAGAAGAGGACATTTCGGGAAAATAAAGCCGCATATAAACAGGCTACATTTCATCCGCGAAGTGTACGTGCCGGTCGCGATCAACGGCGTTATATAGGTTGCGCTTGGCGTGTCCCAGTTGCGGATGAAAGAAAGGAAGAGAGAAGAGAAAAGAGAAGAGAAAAACAAGTAGAAGAGAAGCAGGAGAAATGAAAAGGCGTTGTGTGCTACGTCTGTTCATTAGATATTCAATCTTGCAGCTCTGCCTGCCGAGCGGCCTGAGATTCCGAACTCAGAAACACTCGGTGGAACCGACGTTCCACTCTTTCGTGCTCACCAAGGAGGACGGGCACAGAACCTACGGGTTCAGTCTTGTTTTCTACGAGGAGTGCCGGAATCGCAAGATATGTGCGGCTATGCAAACCCTGCAGGCGATGCATATCACGGAACTGAGCAGCGGCCAAAACGGTACACCACCAACGTGAGTCTTCTTTACGCTGTTTATTCTCCCGTGTCCTTTAATGGTACGGTTAATCCCCGGCCTCCGTGTGGCCCCAAGGAGAGACAAAAGATCACTGTGGGAAATTCGGCGAAATAGTTTCGGGTGTATCGTTACAATTCAAGGATAGATTCAATCATTTCGGAATTTTTCACAGGCAATTCAGAAGTACCTCGATGTTTCGTAGCGTGAAACGGGATATTTTTCGAAGTCATGTTCAGTAGGTTATACGTTTTATTGGTTTGTTGAAGTTTTCACGGTTTTTTAGGGTAGATAACTTTTGTGTGATATGGTAATTTGAGGACGAGCGTCTGAAAATTGTGGACAACTTTGGTGTATCGGGGAACATTAACACAGAAAACAGAAAATAAATATCAATGCTTGACTCGAACTTGAATTCTTCGTTTCAGTATTACCACTTTATTTTCGCTCGATTTATTACAATTTTTATTTGGTTCAATGATTTAGTTGAGAAAAGTCATTTGGTTTAAAATATTATTTTTGGTGGTGAAATGTTGTGAAAAATTCTTTAAGCAGAATTTTTGTTCCTTTTACTTTTAATCGTTAAAAATCTTTATAGCAAATTTCGTAAAAACAGATTTAATTGGTTTGTAGTATTTATGTTAAATCGAAGCAATTATGAAGATTTCTAGTTTTTCTTCAATAGAGGTATCGTGTATATACAGCTTCCAGGTACGAAACGTATCTGGGAATGTAATCAGAAGTTTCTCTGTTGAACATATTGGAATAGTTTTGTCTGAATAATCGAACAGGCATACTATTATCGATTTATCGGCCTATTATCTCTTTACTTGTTCAGATAATCGGTGTTCTATTTCAGTTTCTTTTCATCGTATATACGGAATTATGCGAACAATTGCTTCTCGGATCATTTCACTTGTTACTATCTCGAGATAAAGGAACAAGTAAATACAGAAGCTTACAATTCTAATATAAATACCTACATTGAAACAGTTTCAGAAAAATTCCAAATAGGAGCCTGTTTTATTAAACATTTTACAATACAGGGTGTTCAAAATAAACCACAGTTTATCAACATTTTTTCAGAAATATGAATATTACTTTTTATTTTTTTTTTTAATGAAACTACAGCATTTTTTAAATATGTTTATTAGAACGAATCGCGAGAAATCTAAATTTCCAAAAATCCATAGCCGAATGCCACAGTGTTCTGGCCTTAAAACGATAGTGAAAAGGATATCAGAAACAATAGTGAAAAGAATATCACTTTTATTTCAAAAATTGAAAAAATTAAACATTTATTAATATGCAAATATTAAAATTGAGAAAACCTTTAATTTCGTTAAATATACTTTTTGAAAAATAATGAAATAATTTTACAGAGGTAACATTCGTATCCTCGAGAAATGTGCGTCGCGAAGTTTTATTTCAAAAATTGAAAAAATTAAACATTTATTAATATGGAAATATTAAAATTGAGAAAACCTTTAATTTCGTTAAATATACTTTTTGAAAAATAATGAAATAATTTTACAAAGGTAACATTCGTATCCTCGAGAAATGTGCGGGCAAAGAAATTGTGCGTCGCGAGAGTTGCGCACACTTAAATATAGATGAACCTTTGTCGAAAAATGTGTGTTCTAAAATTCGAGGAAAATCTTGAAATTTCGTGTGTGCAATGTTCACGCGGAATATCAAGGACAGAGCATTAATTTGCCGGTTATAAAGTGAAAATTGATGGAATGGAATGCGTGAAGGTCTAACACGAATGCGTTTGCAGGGCAAGAAAAGGCCAGGATGGACATAACACACGGTCGTTACCACGGCATTTCAAGCTATCAGCACATTCACCAGGTGCTGCGTTAGGCTACTACGACTCCACCAAAGACAAGTTGCTAGTGACTAAATCGATATCCTTGCTATGCCAGCAGCCTTACCTTCATGCCGCGAAAACGTTCCTCACTAATCTCTACAAGTAAGTACGCGTCTAGATTATCATCTTAAAGGCGTGTCATCGTTGGCTAGTCTGATAAACGTGGAAGATCCTCTGACAAAAAGGACCTTTGTCTTCGTAAGGATCGCAAGATCAAACCAAGCGTTAAATTCTTATCGGAAGTAACTTACACCACCTTAGACCGTGGTGGAAGCTTTTCGAGGATTGAATTGGATTGTTCGAATGGAAAAAGTTGGAAATTCTTAAGAATTTATTGCAGCGTTTAGTTCTCTTATTTCAAATTAGCTACTTTGCTTGCTGCTCAGGCGTCAAGTTGTCTCGTTAGAAGAAAAAAAATTCAGAAACTGATCAAGAAACGAGAATGACTTATGGAACGAAATAACGATTTCATGCAAACATAAAAAGTTGAATAAAAAAATTGTATCATTAGTCTACCGATAACAATACTAATCACTGTTAACATTCTCCTCGTCCTACTGCCGTTGTGTCGATAACAAAATCTTAACTAGTTACCAATTCGTGAAAAATGTAGCAGTGTTTTCCCACTAAATGTGTCTTAAATCATCGGCATAATATTTACTTATTGTTCATTCTGAACAGATTTGAAATACTTTCATTTTAAATCGTAGCTTAATTTGACAAAAAATATGAAATTTTTTCCTCCTTCTTCTTACCCATTCAAATGTGCACCCTTTCAGATGTGTTCCTAGACATCCAGGACCCGGTCTTAGCTTAGAGTCCTATGTATACAATCTCCTGTACAACGTACCGGTACCATTGCCTGGAAAGTCGCTGAAGTTCTTCATTCCCAACGATGAGCCAGCGAAATCACCGTTGGAGCTGGTTATCCATCAGCCAACACCATCTCAGGAGTTACCGATGCTAGATTATCCTCTGAAAGACATGTTCACATGGCTTGGCGCAGACTGCTGTATTCAGTTGTTCACGTGCGTCCTATTGGAGAACCAAGTGTTGCTCAGGAGCTCAGATTTCCACAAGCTGATGGTGGTATCCGAGTGTATAACGGCTCTCCTCTTCCCGTTTTCCTGGCAGCACGTGTACGTGCCGATATTACCCGCCAGCCTTCATCACTTCTTGGACGCGCCGGTGCCGTTTATAATGGGTTTACACGCGCAAAGCGAAGGAGGTGTACTGAAAATTGCTAGCGAAGTGAGTGTTTAGCACGTTCCAGAATCGATGCTCACGGAATTTTCACCCCCCTGTACGCATGCAGATTACGAGAGAATAAGATTGGGAGATCGGATTCAGAGGAGTTGGATATCTTAATTGAAATTGAAATTTTTGAAAACGGTTTCCTTTCCACTGTGTTATATCTGAAGAGTGTTGTATGGGGTAAAAAAAAAAAAAAAAACTGGCAGAGTCTGAAAACTGAAATTTTACAGGAGAAGGAAATAAAGTTTGAAATAGTAAACATTAGATACTTTTGTACCTTTCCCAGTGGAAATATTTTTAACACTTTGACTGTGTACACTGTTTCTGAAATCTTTGATAACTTGTTACTTAGTTGGTTGTTTCCCTTTATGTACAACTTGCCATATTTAAATTACCTGTGAAAGCAATGTATTCTGTTAATCTTTTCCCTGGATTCTTCATTTGTGAAAGTAATTTTGGTCTTCTTTTGTAATTATAAATACTGTATTGATAATATATGTGAAGATTATTTAGGCTTATTGAAACAGAGATTTGGAAAATTTGTAATATGTGTCGGGAGAACTAAAACACTTAGCTTGGTTTCAATTTGAACTTAGTATATTATATTCTACATATTCCTTTCTTAATATATGTATATACAAAAAGTGTATTTGAATCTAATTATAAATTCTTTTCATTACAGGCAAATCTTTGTTATGTAGATATAGATAAGCAAAGTAGCCAATTTCCGGAAGAACTACCTGTGTTTCCTCATAAGATGCAATTCATTGCTGAGATTAGAGCTCTCCTAAATAAGTACAAAGTACCACACACAGGAAAGTAAGTTGAAACATACTCGTCATCTCCTTTGATTAATCTATTTTCAATTACTAAAGACGAAATGTTCTTTCAGGACTGATAACATGGTCATAAATCATTATAACGGTGACATCATGACTAGTAGTTTGACGCTTCCTGGTTCTGGGTTTCATCTTCCTCGCAGAAAACACTCGTTACACGATGTCTTAGATTGGGATCGACCTGAACCGACGCCGCAAACAGACACGTTGCAAAGGATAGTTAAAAGAGCGGGTAAAGACATTTTAAATTTGACTTAAATGCAATATTAATATTAATTCATTATCAAAATGTTGATACAATTCAATTAGATAAATAAACGATAGGTGTTGTATAAATATAATCTAAAACGAGTAACCTAAATATAAGCTAAATATATTTACTCTTGGAAGAAGATCAACTGTGTCAATTATTTTTACTCGCTATTAATTTTTATTGCAGGAGTGAATGTAGACGATATTGATTCTGTAGAGGACAATGTGAAGGAGCGAATACTCACGCCTCAAGAGGAGTATCAGGAGACGCTTATGTTTAATAATGCCATTAGGGAGATTTTTTTGAACCGTTTTGTACAGATATTTTCTAGTTACGAACACTTTGTTATTCAACCAAGTCAGGTGTGATACGAGATTTATGTATAAGTATGCATCTCATATTTGAAATCGTATTTGAAAAAAACGCAAACGATTGTATTTTTAGGACAAGGATGAATGGTTGAATAATAGGGACAGTATGTATGTTTTTGATAAGGCTACATTTTTATCCGATCAACCCACACAACATTTGCCATTTCTCTCGAGATTTCTAGAGACACAAATGTTCGCTTCCCTTGTCGACAGCAAAGTTATGTCAACGTGGAGCGAGCTTGATTTTAACATACGAGTTTTTGATCAAAGAATTTCTTTCTTGAGGTAAATATAGAATATAATGTAACATTGTATCAATATTATTTAACGGTGAAACGACTGTATTATTCTCGTTTATTATAGGAAAAAAGTTGGAGAGGGTATTGTACGATCGACGCGTTACGAACCTTGTACAAGTATAGAAGAATCGCAAAAGGTATTAGAACAGAGATTGACGAATGTGGATTTTGAAACAAACCCACCCAATGAAATTGTTCCTCATAGAGCAGCGTACTTTCGAAGTTTTCCTTTATTAGACACTGTTGCTCTAAACAAGGAACCGGCTCAAAGGTACATATTTTATACAAACACATTTTTTAATGCAATTAAACTAAATCAAAAAATATTAACATTCGTTATCTTATTTCCCGCTTCACGTGTAGTATACTGCGGTAAGAATTTACATCTGAAATTGTATAGCATTATGCATGTGTGTTTTACATAATTAAAATATGTTCTATAATTCAGAAATAAAGTAATTACAAGTATTACTTTTTAAAGTACATTATAGTATGTTAAAGATAAACTCTGTTATAATTCAGTTGTATCAATTAGCAAGTTTTATTTTAAATGCTTAAAAATGTTTCATTTAACTACTGATTTAACTATATTATGAAATATAATTTTGATTAATTGTTTTGTTTACAACAGTAGTCGAAGGGGTCAGACGCAATGGAAGTACAAAATGAAATCCATGGAATCAAATGGGAAAGCGCCGGCACCTCAAGAAACTCAGTCGCCTCGACCACAAACTAAACTCTCTGCAGACATGAGTCCAGCATTAATAGCTCAAGCAAATTGGACGTTCGTTGAAAAATTACTCAAGGTACATTTATATTCTTAGAGAAGTGAAAACGAAACAAATAAATTTGTTAAACGCCTTTCACGATAATGATAAATTATTTGAATACCTTTTTCCCTATCAAGGACTGTAAGTCAAAAACAAAAAGGATGTTGGTCGAAAAAATGGGCTCTGAAGCAGTTGCACTAGGTCATGGAGGTGAATCCTTGTCTGATGTCGAAGAAAATACACTAGTTGCCAGTCTTTGCGATCTATTGGAACGAGTTTGGAGTCACGGATTACAAAATAAGCAAGGAAAAAGCGCTCTTTGGTCACATCTCACCATGTATCAAGCACTGGAAGAGTGTAACGACCCGAGTAAACCCATAGATCCTAACTTTCTTTCTCCTGGTAAGTTGAAACTTGTTGTTACATATCAATACTCCTTACAAAATTACACTTTATTATCAATCACTGAATTTTACAACATTTGGAAATGCAGCGTTAGCGTGGTGCGTGCTACGGAAACGGCTCGATTGTACGTGTCTTATTTTATTTCAAATAAAGTGTTAAAAGTAGAGATTAGTTTCTCATACGTAGATACTCTGCACTATATTAGTTGTAAGTGACATACATTTATAAGTAATTATTTATTTCACTCTACATGTTTTTCGCTAAGACTGCGCACCATGTATCAGCAAATATGTTTGGCTGCGATTTTCGACAAATACACACTTATATGTTGATTCAAATTATTATGTTTTTTGTCGTTTAAATTTGATGTACATATATACATTGTTTACATTAATTTTATTTGAAGTTTTATTTATTATAGGTTCTTTTTGTTAAGTACATTTTATTGAAATATATTGTTCCCCGTTTATACTAGAAATACAATTCAGAGGGTCATTAAGATGTGTCAAAACTTAATTAATATATTAATAATTTGTAAATTTATTATTACAAAACTTAATTAATAAAATAATAATTTGTACATTTATTATTATAATAAAATAGAGAACATTTCTGAGTTGTACTGTTTAAACTTGGAGCAACATTTCTTTTTCAGTTGATTTTTATTTGTGTTTCATTTTCCTGTTATAAGTAACCAAGAAATCATCAAGTAAGTTTTTCGGATTGCCGGACCGTTTAATTTCAACCTTAAAGGGCAGAAATATTTTTGAAATAGCTTCTTATATCAAGGAGAATTTTAATGGTAAGCCTTCATAGTGGCTTGCCTCAAGAACGTTTAATTGGCTTTTACTTTAGTATTACTGTTGCAGTTACAATGCATTTTATTTCATATTTGTATAACAGTAAATCGCATGATACTGCATCTTTGGTATTGATGTTTTGCAGAATATTGTAAAAGATGATTATTTGTACCTATTTAAATCTCTGGTATCAAATATGTAATTTGAAGAATTATTTTTTTTATGTTTATCAATCGTGTACTATAAATTGCATCTATTAAAATAGTTTTGAAGTTTATATAATAAGCATGCACAATATGATTGCAAATTAAGAGAAGAAAATTTATTTTCGACATGAAATGTGTAAAGTGATTTGTCTAAAGGTTGCATCTATTTTGTTGTCCTCGTTCATAGCATGGTATCATATGCATGGACTGTTAGAAGTACTTTTAAAACCGTTTGAAAAAACAAATATTAATAATTGTAGGTATTTTAACTTTTCTTTCTAATATCTTTTCTATGTTTGTTAATAATGATAGATTTGCCAAACCTGGCGTTGGAGATCGATTCACCCACGCGAGGCACGGACAAGCACAAGTCTCCTGGCGACAGAAAAATTGGTCCTGAACATCTGAGACCTTTACCTGATTCTTTGCTCTTCGATATCCGAAATGTACAAGCGATGACTGATATCAAAACGCATATTGGATATGCTAGAGCTTGGGTTCGATTGGCACTTGAAAAGAAACTTCTCTCCCGTCATTTAAAGACTTTATTATCGGACACTAGGTTGCTAAGGTAAATTATTAGCTAGAAAGACAATATATATCTCAACGTCTAAAAAAAATTATTTTCATTTATGTTGCATATAAATAAGAATTAAAACTTTCGAGATATTGAGAACATGTGTAAATCATGAAAATAAAAATTTGTAATATTGCTTTGCTTTTAGAAGTCAATATAAGCGCTCAGCATTTCTGCGTTGCGAGGAAGAGAAGGAACAATTCCTGTACCACCTTTTAACGTTAAATGCCGTTGACTATTTCTGTTTTACCAACAATTATCCAACCACGAAATTGCCATATAGGGTCGTTATATTTCCTAGTCGAAAAGCTAGCGCAGCTACCACTTCAGCAAATAGCTGGACCGCTATTTCTGGTACGCTGTGTGAAACAAATCCAGTTCCGATTCCCAAGGGAGCGTTGGAATTTGTGTTTCATGTATGTTTTTATATATTTTGTAATTTACATTTTCTATATCAGTGTTACTTAATTTCTCAAGTAATTGTGCTTCCATCCTACATTTAAAAAAATTTGAAGTCTAGAAATATTTCATAAATTTCAAGGAATATTAGAACTAGATTTGATTATTTTTAATAGTCTATATATGATTTCGTAATTTCTGTTTTAGCATAAAAATTTGGGCGTGCTCTCTACGTTACGCATAGGTCATGACAATACAGGTCTTTCACCGAAATGGATGGTAGAACATGTAGTAGTGAGAAATGAAGTCACAGGACACACGTTTAAGTTCCCCTGTGGTAGATGGCTTGGTAGAGGTATAGATGATGGATCTACCGAAAGATTGCTAGTAGGCGCTTTGGTACCTCGTAGTATTGATAGCGAAGAGTTGGTTGAGACGTGTTCAACGCCACCAAGATGTAGATCTCCTAGTATACCCAGACGTCCGATATTAACTCAAATGGAACTGCAGCATATGCTGGGTAAATTTAGACGAAATATTTTTATTTTTTTAACATGAAGAATATACGCAAGCATTTTATTAAATGTCAATAGAAAATATAGGGGTGGTGAATGCAGTAATATAAAAACAAATGTACCAGTAAAAGTTTAAAAAAGTTTATATAATTTTACAGGAGAATCTGTAAATGCGATTGTCAAATTTCACTATAGAAGAGAATGTCAAGACGGATCGTTGACTGCTTTACTTTGTGGAGAAGGTGGTCTCGTTCCATCGTTAGAGCAAATATTTTTATTCGGGTTTAAAAACCAGAGGATATTTGGAAGGAATTTCTACGTTTGGGATTACTTCTGTAAGCCACTGTTTGCGATAATGAATAACAATAATGATACTGAGATACATTCTTAAAGAAATAAAATGTTTGACAAGAAAACTGGTTTTTCACTTGTTTCAGTGCGCGTAAAAGAAAACTTCGAAATTTCTTTATTAGAGCAAATGGACGAATATTCACAGAGGTTGAATAGAGATAGACGAGCTCATAGAGAGAACAATCAAAGGTTTACAACTTTGAGATGTTATTCCCATCTCATTGATCAAATTAATATATTCAGTCAAACTCTTGGTAAAGATGGGAAATTTCAGTTATTCATTTGCTTAGCAGTGAGGTAAATTATAATATTAATGATTCAAATGTTCAATTATATTTTTGCGAACTTAATTGTTAATTTATGCTTCAGAGAACAACTTCTTCATTCGATGCTCCGGCCAATGAGCGAAGCGCGGTCCACTGCGGATATGTATGAAGAAAATTCCTTCTTGAGGAATTCCGCATTATTAAATTTCCTCATTCACATTCTTGAACCATTGAGCGAATTTCATATTGTCCTTGAGAAGAGTTTGACTCATGGAATTTCTAGTATATGTTAATTCATCACGAGCATTCCACGCAATTAGGTAAGCTGCACTTGATAATTCTTTTCTTTATAGTTTTAATAAAAAGTAATTTATAATTTTAGGAATAATTTAAACGAATGTAAATTACTTTTTCATAGGATACGTTTCTTTGAAGCGGCACAATTTACCAAATTCAAAATAATACGAGGCGAAGGAAAATAAGTGTTATGATATTGACAAAATGAGAAACTTTCTAAAACCCTATTATTAAGAATCTAAGAGGAATTTAATAATGCAAATGAAGACTGTTACGCAAATGTAAAATAGTCGTTTTTAGATGACAAATTATTTGACAGAAAGTTGATACATGAGTGATAATGGAAGGATAGATTTTGCCCTGTTCCGAAAGTTTATGATATTAATAACGATAAGAGTTCAGTGCAAAGGATAAATCATCTAATTTTGCCCATCTTGCCGTAGGTAATTGGTAGAAAAGCAAGCAAAGTTTGAAATTGACGTAACAGAGGTTGAAACTGACGTATCGTGTACCAAAGATGTGATCCTATTAGTTATTACTATTAGTGTTATTGATATTGTCATTATTATTAAGACTTTAGTTTTTTTACAGTCTTTGTCGTAAGCAGATGAACATTTAAAGAACGTGCAAACAACGTATACCGCAATAACTAATAAATTAGACGAGATAAACATCAATTTTATACGTTTCCATTATTTATTATTTTAATTGAAATAATTAATAATACAAAATACAGATTATCCTATTTTAATTGATGCACGAAAATATTGTCGAAATTATCAATAATGCAAAAAAAAATGTTTCAAATGAAAGCTGATGGGAGATATTATGATGTCAGAGATACGCGTATCTGTTTAACTGCAGTACATTAATTAGCAAAATGGCCTTGAATGACCTTGACTAATGATACGGCAGGTCATTACTTTTGCCTTTTCTAGTACTACAATGCTATGTATAAAAAAAATAGTGATAACCCTCTACTTATGCACTGTATAATTTCCTCCATGCAAGTTTCAACTGTTCAACTTTCATTTGAATCATTTTTTTATATTACTGATAGTTTCGATGATATTCACGTACGTTGATAAAAAAGGGTGCATCTTGTATAACTTTATCATGATGTAAAAAATTCGGGAAAGATTTACACTTTGTTAGTTTCCAATTTTGAGCAATTTCGATACGTTGTTTATTCACACTGACCGCTTGCACCATTGTCTAATACTCTTTTTCTTTTAACGGATAGAATACGTGAAAAATCTTTATTTTTAATAATTAACTTTTAGTTTTATATGTATTTTGATTTACAAACAGCTGAAGTTTCGAAGTTTTCTTTTAAATTATGTCACCATCTCTCTATATAATTTTTAGCTTTCACAATTTATACTTTTCTTTCTTCATGGAATTTAAAATCTAACCGGTGTATTGTAGTTCAAATTGAAACTGGAAGAACGCAATGTATTGTGAGAAACATTTATGCGCATAATGAGAAAAAATGGACCAAACGACTTAATCATTTACTACAAGTTTCGAAACGTTAATTTTTAACGTCCAAGGTACATTGCTATTGGTTGCTCTTTAAAGTTTTAACATACTTGATAACCGGGATAGATCGGTTACTTTACTAATGTTTTGAAGAAATAGCTTTCAGAGTACAATTTTACCTCTAGCATTTCATGAACATTGAATGAGACATCCCATAGATAAGAAAAGTTCTTTCGTATTAGTAACCAGTGTGCTATTGCTCACCTTTTGTAAGGCACGTGCGAATAACATTTCCATTAGATCAAATGTTTGATTCAGTTCTAACGTACTTAATGTTGCACGAAGTCTGTGCCCGGTAAAACCTAAAAATTTCAGCCATACCAAATTCTTTCGGTTTCGTTTTGTATTTCTTTTATTTTAGTATTGAACTTTTACTTTTAATTTGAGGTATATGATTATTTTAAGCTTTAAATCTAATTACTTTTGTATTTTATTTCTAATAAGAAAGTAGGAGTTTACTGCAAACAAAATCATAGGAGAAATGCTTTTAAATTAATCACATTTTGCTGAAAACTTCAACCATAAAGTGTGCAAGTTCCAAAATCAAAACAAAATATTCACACGTGCTTACCGTGTACATTCATGACATTGATATTAACAAATAACTGCGAGTTCCTCGCATCTGTGGCCAAATGTAAAAATTTACCGTATCGCCTTTCACATTGATTCACGAATGTCAATCACAAATTCTAATTTCTGTTAACACATTGCTTACCAATTAAAAGCATCTCCTAATTCATTTTTCAATATAAAATGTCTTACATATGTATACTATTAACTTATATCATATACAAATTTTATACATGTAGCAATCACAGAATTTTAAGATGTTTCATCAGATAAAATTGATATGGAAAGCAATGTGTTAATATGTGAAGAAAGCATGAAAGAAAAGAGAAAAAGGAGCATAGAATTTGTTGATTGTGTATGATTAGTTGTTTTACAAACACCCGGGATTTATATTAAAATTTATTTGTTAAATAACTGTATTATTGTAATGTTGTTGATAAAGGTAATAATGAAATACTCGCATAATGATCTGATTGGGTTCTTCTTTTAGATTTTCTATGGAAAGATGAAGCATTTAAAAATTATGTGTTGCATAATTTTTGTGCAAGATTATTGTACATTTTATTGTTTTAACAATAATCACGTTTGAGCAAAAAGAAGAACGAAAAATTTTATTTTTGGCACTTGTAAAATGTTGTATTTTATTTTATTTTACTTCATTTTATGCTTTAAGGAGTGCCTTGTGTGGTCATGTTAAAGTTGCATGTAATTTTATTTTTTCTTAGGCTACATTTAAATTAATTCCCGATCATTTTCATGGTGCACTGTATAAACAGCATTTGTTAGTAATCAATAAAATGAATGAATTATAATTAATAAGTATAAATGAAAGTTGAAAATTCAATTTTGAATGGTACAATGTATTTTATAGAAGGAAACAATTTCGAAGACTTGTGTTACAATGAATATTTCGAAAAAAATTTAGTACTACACAAAGAAATAAGATTTAAAGAATGTAATGAATTATAAATGAACATTATTTTATTTTTCATGTAGAATTACTCTTCAGATAAAATCATTTTAGTTATTAAATAGAAATATTCAGAAGTATAGTTTCATAAATTCTTACCTAAGAAAGATTAAAAAATAAAAGATTTTACCAAAGTTTGCAATACATGTCATTTTTGATTAATATAAAATGGTAAGAAAATTGTATATGTTTCCTAGTAACATTACGAACACTTTAACATGACAACAAATGGATACCCATTCACAATACTCAGATAGTTCGTATGTAAGCTTTGATTCAAGATTAAAAGTCATGCCCATCTGATCACGATCCATGTTCGATCGTTCCTCATTGAGGAAAGCAGATTCTTTACCAAGTTTGTATATAATTGAGAAATTACAAAGCTTGATGTAACGTACAGGATCTTTTACAAAACAACGGTCGTATAATATAATTGTATATACAGAATTGTAAAACAAAATACTATAATACTGTACAGTAGAATAAAGAATTATCAACACAGAAGAGCTTTATTTAACTTTCCTATTCATTTATGCAGCAAAAGCACAGTTCGAATACTTCGTTAAACTTACTGCCTTAATTGTTGAAATAATTCAAACTTTTACATCTTTTATTATTTTCAGAGATTAAACATAATGATGTCTACAATAAATTTTTGAGAAAAGAATTTAACTTGGTTTTTCATACTACTAAATAACATACAATAATTAACTGCGTGGTTAAATAATATAGAAAAAGGTGCTGCCCGAAATATGAGTCATTTAAATTTTAAATAATTTAAATCATAGAGGTTAGAAGCATGATGAATTTTTTCAAGATCAGTGGCTTAGTTCATGTGTTACAATATTCCACAAGATGAGAGAGCTATTCTATACGTTGTTTGTGGTTGTAATCTTATTCTACGCTGCATTGGTAACGTTGAAAACCACACAAATATGGTAATGGTGCTCGTGAGATATAACAACGTATTGAGTGTTAGATCTATACTATATAATGTTTATGATAAAATATTTCAAATTACACTATACTAGGATCACTAGGTGGTAAAATATAGAATAAAAGTATTAACATTCTACTTCGAATATTTTAATTTTAAACTACTAATCGATTCCCATGAATTACGTTATAAAGATTATGTATGAAATGAAAGTGAAACGCAATTGAGCAAGAGTAATGAGTTTGACAAGGAAAGATATAGGGATAGACAAAGACAGAAAATTTTTAAGAGTGAAACAAACGTCATCTCGTGTTTGGCTGCACGAACTAACGACTCATTACTTGGAACACAGAATATAAACAGAGGTATTAGAGGTATTAGAATTGAAGAATGAAGTGTGGACCTTCAGCAACTTTCACATATAGTTTTTAGTGCACTAGACCCTCTCAATAATTAGTTATTAACAATTTTAGTACGTGATGTCGGGAACGATACCACATACTGCCAAGTACCTTTCTGGTTTTTCAATAATTTCATAGCTTTCTACTAAATTTTCATACAACTAACTACATAGAGAGGTTATTTATAGGGGTGGAGAAATATGTTGAGAATGTATAATGACGTTTTGTTTGCGCGGAGCCTTTGTTCCCGTGTGAGTTGAGGTTGCAAATTGATCGAGGTGTGGGACACGGTTGCAGTAGCAGGAAAAGAACTTTTATATCGTTGAACGGTGATTTTTAAGTAGCAAGATACTTTTATTTCACTGTTCACCTTTGAAACTTGAATGCACATATTGTTGCAATCTCTATTCTCGAATGCAACATCGATGGAAGCACTATTTCGAATGCAAAACATTATTGTACGCGTTAATTTTGAATGCAACATCGCTTGAAGCGTTATATCTGTACGCAAACATTGTTGAATCTCTGTTTCTGATTGCAACATTATTAGAAGCGTTATTTCGAACGCAAACATTATTACAAGCACTACGCTTGAATGTAACATTGTTACAAGCGTCATTCTCGCTTGTAATATCGTTAACTCGTATTATTTTCGAATGCACATTGTGGCGAACGTGTTATCGCGTTTTGCAACAATGTGCTTTTTTCGCGGGTCGCGCGCACAACACAAAGTTGCAAACGGGGAGATCACGCT